AAAAAAAAAAAAAAAACAAGTGTAAGCCTTCGGATTAGCCGATACAGTAACTAATGAATTAAGCTGCCTATTTATAGCAAAACTGTTGATATACGGTATGTACATTATTTATTGTTTTATGCCGTGCATGTCGACACTATTGTGGTAAACCCATTCTAAATCCGCCACCGCCGCCCCTCCTCCAAAAAACACCAAAAAATGAAGATGATTCTGAAAACAAATGGTTGACATGAATTTTGAGCTGTCCCGCGACATTTAGGCCATATATATTCTTTGGTGAAAACAAGGACTGCCGCCCACAAGTTTGACAGTATGAGAAGCTGAGGTCCCTAGACTTGTGAAGAAGTAAGAACATATATCCAGAAAATTTGCATCTCTCTATTTGAGAAGGAACCTTCAGGGAGTTCACCTGAATCAGAGTCCATAGCAATAAGCTTATAACAGGAAAGTGCCCAACTCATGGCCATGCCTCGTAAGTTGAACTTTTCTTTCACCAACCCATTCCAGCCGATAAGAAAGATCAAGATTGTGAATCAAGAGTTTCAGTCTGTCGGTGTCGCTCAGACCACCAGTGTTCTCCTGCAACAGAAGTGATAAAAGGCTGTAATGCATATGACTGGAATGGAATTAAACTGTCAACCAGAATCAGATGGATGCATTTTGAGAGGTGCTTGTGTCATTGAAGGACGATGATTATGGGATTCAGCATAAACCCATAACCGACGGAGAAATACATATACATTCTAAGAAACTGAAAATGCAAACACAAGCAAAAGGCATAGCATGCAGACCAAACCCAAAAAAAAAAGAAAAGGAAAAGCTGTGACCACAGCTTATGATGTTATTGGTGCCAATAGAATAAAGGAAACAGATTTCCAACGATTTTCTAGTACAACCTAGACTCACAGGTGGAGAATCATGTCCAATTATATACAGGTAAGACAACACTCAAATGTGCCAACAATGATGCGTATATAATCCACATTTAGGACAATAAAGGCACATTCAGGTAAAATTACCTGCGAACTGGACTGTTTATCATCACCCATTACACTTGCCATTATGCTGGACCTAGTAGAATTAGGTGAGAATCCTTCCCATGGAGGGACGAAAATCAGTTTGGTGCATTGGACAGGAACAAGATTCCGGCTGAGTTTCTCCCACCATACTGATCCCAATGACCACCATCTGATCATCAACCCATGCTCAGAAAAAGCAACTAGCCCCTACAATTAAAAGACATCAACAAGAACTCCACAAAGACAAACTAAATCAAGTTAAAACCTCATCCGAGAAATGTATAATATTTACAAGACTTCGACCCATTCAATGTACTAGTACAACAGTGTTAACTAACTATCGACTTTGATGATATTACTATACTAACAGAGGCCACCATGTGGTGATCTTGTAAGCCCAAAGGTTCATCATAATGGGCCTACATAAACTATACCCACAGAAACAAACAACAGAGGAGAAAACCAAGTTCCTCATATAGTAGAGCAATAGCAACAATCTGGGGATTACGGAAAGTACTATAGATTGATACAAAATGCTTTATCAACAAGAATGTAGAAAGCAGTCGGCACTCATTTCATCGCAAAAACTGGAATAACTAAAATTTAGCTATAAACTGCAACAAGTATATCGAGGTAAAATCACCAAGTTAAGAATTTTAAATTTTGTAAGACATAAAAAAGCACTTTATGCATATAGAAGAAAAAATTGACTAGTGGAAAAGTATAAAAAAACAATTGGACAAAAAGTGATGCATACCTAAATGATCCCACTTGGACCCTAGAAGACTCCTTCAGACTACATGTTCACACTTTAGCTTATAATACAATATCAAATAATGAAGGATCACCTCGCACTATATTCCAGAAAAATTCATGTAAACACCAATGTCTACAATCCATCCCTATAACATGCATGCAAGATTCTACCCTGATCTAATGAGTGTAAAACACTGCTCGATTGAGCAGTGAATCAGGACTGATATTTGTGGGGAGTTGAAGGCTGGATCCCATTCCTGCAAATCCAAAACTAAGGACCCCAAACTGAAACTCATACCTGCTTAAAATAGAATGAAATAACATCTGAGATTCTTAACAACATTAATTTACGCCAAGTATTAATGGACTCCTGCCATCACAATTAAAAAAAAATCCCTTATTCCGTAGTGGGGATGTCCCAGAGTAAGTCCTGTTCGAAAAGTCAAAAGTTTTATGTCATTAAATATCGCTATTTTACTCTTTCACAATGTTTGAGTCACCTTGAATTATTCTTTTGTCTTTTTTTTTTTNCATCCGAGAAATGTATAATATTTACAAGACTTCGACCCATTCAATGTACTAGTACAACAGTGTTAACTAACTATCGACTTTGATGATATTACTATACTAACAGAGGCCACCATGTGGTGATCTTGTAAGCCCAAAGGTTCATCATAATGGGCCTACATAAACTATACCCACAGAAACAAACAACAGAGGAGAAAACCAAGTTCCTCATATAGTAGAGCAATAGCAACAATCTGGGGCTTACGGAAAGTACTATAGATTGATACAAAATGCTTTATCAACAAGAATGTAGAAAGCAGTCGGCACTCATTTCATCGCAAAAACTGGAATAACTAAAATTTAGCTATAAACTGCAACAAGTATATCGAGGTAAAATCACCAAGTTAAGAATTTTAAATTTTGTAAGACATAAAAAAGCACTTTATGCATATAGAAGAAAAAATTGACTAGTGGAAAAGTATAAAAAAACAATTGGACAAAAAGTGATGCATACCTAAATGATCCCACTTGGACCCTAGAAGACTCCTTCAGACTACATGTTCACACTTTAGCTTATAATACAATATCAAATAATGAAGGATCACCTCGCACTATATTCCAGAAAAATTCATGTAAACACCAATGTCTACAATCCATCCCTATAACATGCATGCAAGATTCTACCCTGATCTAATGAGTGTAAAACACTGCTCGATTGAGCAGTGAATCAGGACTGATATTTGTGGGGAGTTGAAGGCTGGATCCCATTCCTGCAAATCCAAAACTAAGGACCCCAAACTGAAACTCATACCTGCTTAAAATAGAATGAAATAACATCTGAGATTCTTAACAACATTAATTTACGCCAAGTATTAATGGACTCCTGCCATCACAATTAAAAAAAAATCACTTATTCCGTAGTGGGGATGTCCCAGAGTAAGTCCTGTTCGAAAAGTCAAAAGTTTTATGTCATTAAATATCGCTATTTTACTCTTTCACAATGTTTGAGTCACCTTGAATTATTCTTTTGTCTTTTTTTTTTTGGGGGGTGGGGAGAGAAGAGGGGCATTCAAACATAAGCATCATATGATATCACTGCATCAAATGGTGTTCGTTAAAAAGTTGAAACTCCCAAAAGAGTTCTTCCTTTGATTTTTAATCGCAAGATAATAATTAGCTTAGATGAAGTTAGATCAGGTCAGATTCAAACACATTGAGTTGGATAGGACCGCTGATTTGGGTCTGACTATGCCATCTCTAGATGAATACTACTTCAATAATCTGCCAAGTGCAAAGGACTCCAAAAATGTGAACTAGAACACAGTGGGTCATTGTCAAAAACCAGGAGGAGCATAAAAATAAGTTTATGGGATCTTTAGATTTAGCATATATACCTCTCCATCTGGTGAAAAGCATAGAGCTGAAATCGCAGTACTTAACATGGTTTCTGAATTTCCTCCAAGCAAAGTTGGAAGTCCTGGAGGTCCACTTGCATCCAATACCTTTATTTTTGACATGCTGCATTTAAAAAGTGGAAAAAACATAAGACATACCGTGTTCGTGACCTTCCATAGCTCCACAATAAATGTATGGCAAAATGCCCCCAATAAATTTTTCTTCTCAAAGTGCTGTTACGTATTTTTTAAAATTACCTGTGCATATCATATACTAGAATGCTAGCATTGTCAATCTCTCCGATTGCATCCCCAACAGCCAATCGGGTTGATGTGTCATTCAGGGCTACCATAGGAAATACACGTACAACTTCCTTCAGTGCTGCCGTTGAACTCTGAAAGCAAGTTTTGCGCATGACCGAGTTACCAGGGTCCATTGTCTGTAAAATGAAACTGACCACCTGCATTCCCTTATAAATGTTAGGAGTATGAAAAATCCATGTCTCTTATGAACAAGACACACCTAGAAAAATAGACCACCAAAAAATCTAGAATATGCCACCATAAAACAAAGTCGGGGTGACCAGCTAACATAATTAATAAAGGAATGAAAAGGAATAAATAGCAAGAATTAACAAAAAATTACAGTTTCACAGATATAGCAACCCAAATGACTGGAAAAAGGATGACAGAATTTGTCCCTGCAGTAGAATGGGTGGGACAATGCACATTACTTCTAATGATGTCTTTCTCCCAAAATGGAACATCCATGATTGTAAACTAGACTGTCAAAAAATCAAAGTATCTAAGTTGATAGTATATCTGCTACAGTGAATAATCATGGTCAAAGAGCAGACGTTTAATTTAAAATAAAAAATGCAACATTCAAGTCAACTCTGAGTTCTGATGGCAGATGAAAACTTCTTTTTGTATTGAAGTTGAGTTAAAATGAGAAAAAATAAAGTAGACCATTGTGTTTCCCCCTTCTGACCTAACTAAGTTCAAGTTGTGAAATTAAAATCCAATCTTAAAGGAAAGAAGATTTGTTTGGTGAGGGAAGCAAGCTTATTAGAGCATTTGGGAGCAGACATAATAAGGAAGCCAAAAGTTTTATTGTATATTCCCCCAGAATGAAAAGAATAATTTCACAAAATTAATTGAAACTACATCTAGAGTGACACAATCACATTAACCTAAGAGTAGTTATCTTCAAGAGCAGGAAGTCAGAATAGCATCTATAAAGATACATGAAATCAAATATGATGAAGCAGAATATGTATAGACTGCACAAATATGAGCCAATTCCCATGCAAACTAGACATAAGCATCATTCTAAAATCAAGAGATGGATGAATGTGTAATCATATGTTCACTTAAGCTCCCACCAAGGAATTTTCAAACGCAAGTTTAACTAAACTTATTTTTTCTAAAAAAGACGGAGATTATCTTGCCTGATTAAAGAGTAGGCTCTACAAACCTTATCAAGGTATTGAGCTAAGTTTCTTGGAGAACCACGTGCAACCCTGATGAGAGTCATGAGGGATACTACATGAACAGGTGAATCAGATGCAGTAGACCAGATTTGTCTTTCTATCACATGTAAAAATGCCTGTATATCAGCCATTGATAAACTTGGAAGAAGAATCTCAACCAAACTTTCCCGCATGCTAATAGACATATTTGGACTTTGTGCCAATGAGTTAGCAGATGCACCACTAAAACTCTCTATCTGAAAAAATATATCTCCAATTAAACGAGGTATTTCCGAACCAATGCATGCCATCCATGTGCTCTCCAAACCTTCTGCCAGAAGCTCTGCTGCAGTTGAACTATATTTTTCATTCATGGCCATAGCCAACTTCATTAACGGATGAACAACCAGCCTAGAGACAATTGGCTTCACAAGGCTAGGGTACCAAACGGCCAGGGCAGCAGCAACAATAATATGAGAGGTCATTGCATCTTGATTTGTTCCCCCAACACAAGAAATCCAGTCTTGCACTTCAAATGATTCTAGCCATGCTGATATTTCAGATTCTTCGGCCTGACAGCATCCTTGTCTTTCTGGCTGCTTGTCAGATTTTAAACTGTTTGAGGACAGCTCCTCCAAGCTTGGAATTTCAGGCTCACTTTCTGCTACTTCATTTAGAGAGCCTAGAAATTTTGCATGATCACTTGCTTTTTGACTGCACAAGGGAAGTGGAACATCCCGCGAAGCAGCACAGTGAAATAAAGAGCGAGCAGCCATTCTCACATGTTCACATTCATCTTGCCAAAAACTCACCAAAAGCTGCAAAACAGAAGAATAGTTTGGAACAAAAAAATAAAGCTGAAAAATATGAATTCTTTCACATAGTTAGATGTTCCAACCTCAATGAAATCAAGTAAGAGTTTCTTTCCAATCATCAATTTGGATAAATTTACTTGAGAACCTAAAGATGAAATAAACAATGAAAAAACAAAACAAGATTTACTAGCTCTTATCTCCCTAAGTAACACTCCTAATCCTACATCCTTGAAAGCCGACGAGCATTTATATGAAACAAAGGATAATCATGACGTAAGCCCTTCAAAGTTTGATGAGGATGCACATTGCACATAGGTTCTACCTTATGTTTTGGTTAATGATGCTACTCAGTTTTAGCTTCCTCGGTATAGTATGGTTCTGGGGAAGCATCTTACCCTATGACTCAGCCGGGGTTGCCAAAGTGGCAGAAATGTGTAAAAATAGGAATTAAAAAGCATTTACAAGCTTCAAAACAGCAAGATACATACAACAGTTACGCTTCACCCCATTCCACAATATTTTCGGTTTAGAGAAAATTTTCAGATGAGATTGCTGGAGGTTTCCTACCCATATGTGGGAAACATGCATCAACATAGTGACACCTGATAAACATACAAAGTATTGTCACCATTATAGTCAAATTTCAATAGAGTCTATATAAGATTCCTTTTTTCTTCGGCCAAGTTACACAAGATTTCTTTATTTCCATTGTTTTTTTTAATTTTCAGTGGCACGGAGGGGTTTCATTTTTTATTTCTTTTTTTTTTTTTTGTGTGTGTGGGGGGGGTGTGGGGAATGTGAGCACAGAACATCCGACTAGATATTGTTGAGAAACTAGGGTTGTAACATTTGAGTCCAGTGGTAGTACAAACATAGAAATAATGGCTGATGCAATTAGAAACACGTTTCCGTCAAACTGAAAGGTGACATTACCTAAATCTGTCTAGTAAAAATATTAGAGAACTAAGTATTAGCCCAGTGAAGATCTCTTTCCTTTTTCTTCTTTACTTTATTTTTTATTGAAGAGCACGTAAATGTAATGACTATCTATTTTTCAAAGGAATTCCCACTCAAATCTTTTGCATAAGCATCACAGAAAAGACAAAGTAATAATGAAACATATCTGAGACTTAATATGACAACGCAAATCTGATGTTTCCTTTTAATTTAATTCTGCAAGCTTAATGACATTTTAACAGTAGAAATAGTAAGCAACTATATTTTTGTCCAATATCAAGCAATTACCAAAGATTCAAACAAACAAGAGAACCATTTCGCATAACATTTTACCTGAAGCAAAGGTGGCTTTATATCTGGAACTTTTTCTGCAAAGTTCCGTGTATAAAATGCTGCTAAACCACTGCAGATAATACATATTCAGTAAAATGGACGCATTTATCCACTAGAAACTCCATAATTATGAAACATAAACACTGGGAATGAGAAGACAGGGACACAACAGTATGGTCACTCTTAAAAGTTAGGACACTGACAATGGGAATACATAATTTGATATAAAATAAACCTCACTATCTTATAAGCAATGGATACAACACATACTTTATAGCTTATGCACTGTAATAATGAATACCTACCCATGTTACATAAGCAGAGACACACCAAGGACATGCCAGATCCGTTATATGTGGGCAAATTGTATGTTGAGGTTTATCTACACTTCCTACTGTATATGCACCTATGTACATGACATAAGAAATCACATGCCAATGTATAAAGTTTGTTGATCATTCATTCTTGTGAGTGTCAAAGAATTGTATGTTAACGTATTTAGTTTTGAAGTTCGTTGATCATTCTTGTACTGTCCAATAAATTTCGGTCAACAAATTTATTTTTGATCTATGACATTCCCCAAGATATGTTGGGCACGTCCCATGAAGTGTCCAAGAATAGTAATGTATTTTACTGAAGACATTACCTTCCTAAAAGTGCCCATGAATCTTACTAGAAAGATTGTTAATGTCACATGCCACAACAGTTTGGCATCAAGTAACCACGTCACTTAGTTTGAACGTATAAGTTTAAAAATACGAGGATTAGTATCATTTAAAAGACTGAAACAAAGGAAATCATGTCCACAATATGCAAAAGTCTTAAGACTTACTAGACAATCAGACCCACCTAGAAAGCCCCGCAGGTCACAGCCAATTGAAAAATATGATCCTGATATTGGCTTTAACATATTCAGATGAAGCAATAGAATTAAATTGAATAATGGGCTGAATACAATTTGGTCCCTAAAATATTGTTCTTTGTCAATTCAGTACTTGGTGTTTCCCATTTGTGTTTAATTAGTCCAATTTTTACCAAATCCCTTTAAATAGATAACAGACTGCTGATTTGATTGAGGGCACTCTGATTAAGGATGAATTTGCAGGGACATTTTGGTAAAAAACTTCTTCTCACGTGCCAATCTCTCTCTTCCCATCTTCTGCCTCACACACTCTCTCTCTCTCTCTCTCCAACACCACCATCGCAGCACCGCCACCATGCTATAGACCACAACCACCACCTCCTCACCGGAAGCACAAAGAAGTCACAGAACAAGCGACCACGACCACAACCACAACCACAACCAGTGACAACCACCACTTACTCAATCCTCCAGCGACTCACCAACACCCACCAATAATATCACTACCAACAAGCCAGAAATTTTTCCAGTGGAAACATGAAAGGCTCTCCTCTATCAAACGCGTTGTTGACCCCATCAATGCCCATCAACAACCCTCCTGCTACTCACCAGTCACCACCAGCAACACATAGTCACCACCCTCCTGCAAATCAAAAGTAACCACCCACATCGCCACTCTCACCCATCATACCACAAAAATACATCCACCAATTTCATAAATTAATACCACAAAAGAGAGAAATACTCAACAATTTTGGATTGAGGATTCGATGGTAGGGTGAGTATGTATGCGTGTGTATGCAAGAGAGAGATTGTGTTATGGGTCAGTGAGGCGATGGCTACTAGGAGGCAAGGAGGGGTTACAAGGGGAGGTGTTTCTGGTGGGTGATGGTGGTCGGGGTGGTGGAGAGAGGGAAAAATGGGCTAAGGGGGTTATGGTTGAAGAGTGAAGGCAGGAAAGGAGGGGTTGGGGAAGAGAGAGAGAGAAGAAACAGGGAATAGTTTGGGATTTTTTCCATGGGTATCGCAGTTATTATTTTGGGAGAGAAGTGATTGGCCCGTCCCATATTAACTCGTTTGCCTGATTTTAATTTGAGTTTTTTCTTTCTACCATTACCCTCACAGTTCCTTCTCGTGATGGGCATGTAGGTATTTCTGTTATCAAATTAAAATGGTAGTTAAAAATTGAACTAAAACACAAATTGGAATCATCAAGGACTAAATTAACAAAATTGAAATGTGAGAGACCAAATCGGTAAAGAGCGCATACTTAATGGACCAAAAGTGTATTTAATTCTTGAATAATTGTCAAGCATGGGTCAAGTTAAAGACTCAATTCTACTTCATTGGGAAACTTGAGAAGATAGCATAAAGAAGAATTCTCCAGTTCCTAGTGAACATGCGGTTTCACTACGCTCCCCAGCAAATTATAGTACTTACTCAAGGAGTTTACTAAAAAAGAAATTTTCTTAATTTCCTGAAATTAATCCAATATATGAGTCTATGTCCTTACAGGTCCACAAGTGATGATCACTGCTTATGTGGTAGCAATTAATTAGAAAGTATTACCATGGTCTCGAGGACAGCTGAAGTATACTAGTTCTATACCCACCTAAACTACCTAGAGCATTCAGGCATAAAATAATGACTTGTGGACATCAAAATATGCTAGACGCAAATCGTGAGCGCCCTAGATGAAACTCGTATACACTCGCCTCTAGATGTAGTAACTCAAAAGATTGTGTGGTCAAGAATCAAATGCGACTAACTGAGGATTTTAAACTGTTTTATAGGAGATGCAGACAATCATTGTTTCAGACAATTTAAACAATTCATTATGATTGATATCTATAATTCACAATCATCCATATTTTTTCTTGACATGAAATGCCAATTCTCAAAAAGATAAGAAGAAGGCTAACAAATCCATTGGTTTCTTCTAAGTATCTCGTCAAGAGTAGAAAAATCTGTTAGGGAGTAGAGAAAAGACATAGTAGACAAGAACTTATTTTGTGACTATAGACAAAGCTGAACGGCCAAAAACACATTAACATTTACCAAGTGAAGGCTAGGTTGCCCAAATGGATTGTTAGGCACTACTCCCATGTTCTCAACAACAACTACTGCAATGCACAATCACATAAAACTACAAATTATTGCAAAAGAACAAATCTTCTGAAAATGCATCGTTATTGTGCAAAATGCAAGCAAAGTATATCGTTGTTGAAATAAGAAAAATATTCACGGCTCAAGAATTGCAACTGCTATTTCCTATCATCATATGTAAGAATATTATCAGTAAATAATTTTTGTGAAGGTCAAGCTACCTATATTGTTACCTACTGATTAGTTATACCAAAAAAATTGGAGGGGGGCAATTTTCAATTGAGACTATGCTTTTGATACGTGGATATACTTTTGTTCTTTTCCTTAAACATTTTGAGCTGTTGGAGGCATGAAAAATCTTACCCAAACAAAATTTATTCACAATTCTAGATTCTCTCAGTTGGATATCAGTGAACCAACTGTCCAATGGTATGGAGAAATGTTATTTGTAATTTCTATATCAATAACAATATGGGAATTCATATCCTAACGAGGATTCTGAAAGTAGAGTGGAAATGTATAAATAAAAACATATAAGATTTCATACTTCCCAGAATATGATGTGGTTTCACAACTGTAATACCTGCTGGCCTCTGAACAGGAATGAGACAAGCTAATCATGTGCTGAGCAAGGGACACCATTGCCAGTGATCTCATTGCACAGTACTCTGATGACAACTTCCAAAGCTGAAATGTTGATTTCATTGTCTTAGAAAATCAGAAGAGTAGAAAGAACCTCAAATTGAAAACATTGAACTGAAGTACCTCAAGAGTAGCACTAGAACCAGGAAGTGCCAATGTCAGAGACCCTCTGTCCCCCAGCAAACCAGAAGCCACAATGAAATCCTCTGGTCTTTTGAGCTTCATGCCAGTTATTAGCAACTTATCAAGCTCCAAATCTACGTTCCAAAAGTGCAAAAAGGACAAGCTAAACCGAAGTAGACGTCCTTCGAGAGATTGAACCCAGTCATAATCATGTATAGTATCAGCCGAGGTGTTATGTAAATCAAATTCATCATCCATCGTAATATGATGGGGACTTGGCATCTCAACCCTCTGTTCATTTAGATGAGTTTTCTCTCTCCTATGAGCATCATTTTTCAGAATTTCAGCTCGTACTTCATTTACATGGCTTTTCCCTGGATTATTGCCTCCATCTTTAAGGATTTCATGTTTCTGACAAAGAGACATCAATGACGCAAGGTCAAAATTCAGAGCGGCAATTCCAGGAAATGGGCAAGAGCTTTTGATTGGATGGTTGCTGCTTTGAAAGANAGCATTTTTCAGAATTTCAGCTCGTACTTCATTTACATGGCTTTTCACTGGATTATTGCCTCCATCTTTAAGGATTTCATGTTTCTGACAAAGAGACATCAATGACGCAAGGTCAAAATTCAGAGTGGCAATTCCAGGAAATGGGCAAGAGCTTTTGATTGGATGGTTGCTGCTTTGAAAGACTGGCTGTGTAATTGGAAGTGTTTCTGAAACACTTCCTTTACTCGCACGTGTTTGGGAACTATTGCACTCAGTCATGTTTGTAGTAACTGCGGGGATGTTTGCTGATGTAGTTCCCTTCCCTAAATTTTGCGAGTGAGATTGTGAAAATTTTACTTCTTCATTTACTGGAAGAAGTAAGGAGGAAACCGAAGTGTTCACATTAGTCACACTAGCAGAAAGGGGATCTCTGTTGCTACCACTACAAAAATGATCAAACATCGAATGAGAAGCATTTCCACGAAGAACCCGCTCACGAGCACCCGTCTTTGTGTCCCAGATGTACAAAACATCAGACGCATCAGATGTTCCAGAATAGTTCAGGCAGAGACATGCTACATAGCCTTTCACACTATCCCATACAACTTTTGCTGGGTAATATGGATGTCCAGGAAACATTCTCTCCACCCGCAAAGTCTCCAGCGAGGCAAGTGCAACACAAGAGTCATCTCCAACAGAGAGAAAGCAATCACTCCATGGACGATCAGTTTGACAAGGGGGAAAAATTATTTGGCGTACCGGAGCTACATGATGGTGCAGAACTGTAATGAGACTGAGAGATTCAAGATCCCATATATGGATCGTGCAATCCATGCTTCCTGACACTAAAACATGATTAAAACTCCACCCTTTGCAGTTACCCACCATGCGATGAGCAGCCAAACATAGTACAGCCCCAGTGTGCCCTAAAAGACATTGTCTAGATGCATGTGACCCTGCTTCATGGTGTGGACTTCCATCACGAAAATCACGTCCCTCATAGAACAAATCAAAATGCACAACTTCTATTTCGCCACTATAGAATCCATAAACAATGGCATATGGTGATTTGTAGTTTTCAGAAATAACCATTGATGAAGATATGAGCTGTCCTTCTCGGTAACAATCATATTGTTCATCGCCTGAAATTATACCATCTGAATTCTTTGGACATGGAGCACAATTACGCAGGGAAGCTAATTCATTTAGCTTGTCTCTCTGTTTTATGCCAATGTCATGCTTGAGGCCCTCGATTTTATAAGGAGTAGTAGCATTCATGATCCAGTCATCAAAAAAACTGCCTTCTCCAAGCATTTCACACTCTTGACAAAACTTACTGTTGTTATGAAGTTGATGACGCAATGACCAAATTGTGACATGAGCCTTCCCCAGCAAAGGTTCTTCGGTATGAAAGAAAATAGATTCAGCACGAAGAAGATAGTGATCCAATTGAATAAAAGAAATAGACACTCTCACATGAGAAGGATGAGAAACAGCAGGGATAGCATATACAGGCTCAAACCTGAACATGTTGCTTGAATATGATAATTTATACACAACTGCAGAACCTCTATTGTTCCACACAGCAAAATTTTCTACAAATATGCTTTGGGATTCACCAGTATTCAGTGTCATCCTAGCATCACGGCCTTCAAGAAACATGCCACCTATAATGTACAATTGAGTTGCACTTCCGTCAACACAAAGCTGATTATCTATGAAAGAAATCTTTCCCAATGTTGTACCACCATCCACTAGCCTGAATATGCAGTAGGTTCTATATACAAATGCTAAAACCTGCCCACAGGTTGCAAATGCCACTATCAGTCCCCCTTCACTTGATCCATCCACACAACCAGTCAACTCTAGATGCGAGGAAATTTTTCGCAAGCCAGTCACATTTTCTGCATTTGTTTCATTTTCCTTTAATATCGCAACACATTGTATTTTACTAAACGAATCANTCACTTGATCCATCCACACAACCAGTCAACTCTAGATGCGAGGAAATTTTTCGCAAGCCAGTCACATTTTCTCCATTTGTTTCATTTTCCTTTAATATCGCAACACATTGTATTTTACTAAACGAATCAACCATCATCACTGATTGCTTCTCCATATCCCCACCGGAAAAAATTACAGCCATGAACTTCAAAGGGCCAATAGATAAATTACCATGAAAAATGGTTTGGACAATGGTAAGAGTATATGAATCCACAATTACGACCGTGCATTGGGAAGCTTTTGTGTGATGTGATTCTCTATCCCCCAAAGCCTCATCCCTTTCAGTGGAATCAAGTGACTTATAGTTAAATAAATGAACCGCATCAACGAAACAACAGGCTATACAGACATATCTCCGATTTTCAGGCAATGTTCGAACCATGGAAGGACTCCCCACCCAAGGTGGCATCTTCCTTCTGCGCCTGCAATGCCCACTGCCTCTGCTCCAAACACACAATACACCATCATTACACGCACTTATTAGTGCTCCATATTTAGCTGAGTTAGAATGCAATGCCTCATTAGTTGGATCGTCTAAGTTTTGATCTCCCAAAGTTGCATCAGGAACACATATGCCAAGATCAGCTATTGGTGCTGCATGACCACACAACATAGCAACTGCTTTTATTTCCTGCCCAATCAAGACATGTCAATCGAATGCAAATAAACGCATAATCTACACCAAAAAGAAATAAACACAGAGCAATCTTTTCTTCCAAGCGCTCATCAATTCCAAAACAAAATGACATAATTAAAATATTAGAATAAACGATATAATAACTCAGGAAACTTCTCGGCTTAGAAAATTTCAGTCATAAGAATTTCCATCTACTTGCATATTATGAATGCAAGCAAGTTGAGAGCCTGCAATTTATGTTCATACAACATCTGGACTACAATTATTTTGAATCAGCAAACGATCTAACCTCAAGGATTCATTTACAATGATTTTGTCATTGGCAATGTAGAATTAAGCTTCAAATTTAAAATTTGACAAACTAGTTCTTCAGTTTCAATTCGAGGACCCCAATCGAGTATCACTAAACGAGGCACCGAGTGTTTAAACTTGGCAGGAGACAACATAATCAATATATGCTGGAAAACAATTGTTTAACTAATACAGCTACATACGATACACATAAATGTGTATGTACCTGATTGGAATCAGTGAGGGATAGGTTCCACCAGATGATAGAGCCATCGGATCCGCCGGTGTAGAGTGTCGGAGGTCGATTGATTACAGCTGTGGCGGTGACTACGTGAACAGGTGGAGAGCCTGACCAAATACAGGCTACCGATTGACACTTCATCGACGAACTGTTCCCGGAGAAGCTCAGATCACAAGCTCGAGACTGACGGGGAACGTTTTTGTGCGCCAACTTTCAGTTTTTTTTTTTTTTTTTTTGGGGGTGGGGAGAGACATCGGAAGGTGAGTTCGGAAGTCATTCGCTTCAGAACTTAAAAGGATGGGTATCACTTGGGCCTGAGCTTGATCCTAGGCCTGGCCCCAGTCGAATAGAAGTCCAGCTTGCCTGACTGGATTAACACTACAAAGCGTGTTTGGTTGTTTCCTGTGGCTTAGGATAGTGCTACGGTACCAAAAATTGTTGAACTTTTCGCACTTTGCATTCTAAAAATTTTTAAAAATTTTATTTTATACTTTNCACACTTTGCATTCTAAAAAATTTTAAAATTTTTATTTTATACTTTAAAAATAATTTTTTTTACATTATATCTTTAATATATCAAAAATGTTGTAATATAATCATTCTATTAATTTCTGTTGATTTTTTCGTAAAAAATCAACTNCGCACTTTGCATTCTAAAAATTTTTAAAAATTTTATTTTATACTTTAAAAATAATTTTTTTTACATTACATCTTTAATATATCAAAAGTGTTGTAATATAATCATTCTATTAATTTCTGTTGATTTTTTCGTAAAAAATCAACTTATTGACATTGACAAAAAAATTAATAAAAAATTAACAGAAGAATCACAGTATAATTCTTTTGAAACATTGATGATACAATATGAGAAATTTAATTTTTGAGAGTATAAAATAAGATTTTTACAGCCTTTAGCGTACAAAGTGAAATTCACCCAAAATTATTTAAACTATCAATAACTTTTAATGTTACGCTAAATAATATTTGGCCATTGATTTTTCTTTGATTCAATTGTAATCGTTTGGTTTAAACGTAGTAAAATGAAAGTAATTTGCATGCCTTATTATTTTATTAGCTCAAAAAGAAAAAATATAGTACCGAAAAATAATTTATTTTTGGTATCTTACCCAAGTCCGGTGGGTTAACATATCAACCCAATTACCCAAATATTATTATAGTAATGTTGAAATAATGATAGGAAAACAAATATTGCCTATTTGTCATCCAATTAGATTCCATTTATCCCATATTCGGAAAGCAAAAGAGGTGCAGGAATATCACCATTTGGGCCTATCCAACACCCGATTTGAATAATTGTAGGTGGGTTTGGGGTTTGAGTAAAATTTGGGGCCAATGAAATTTCTTGCAAAAAGACTATTATAACCCTTTTTTTTCAAAATGTTAGATTGCCCAAGAGACGATGATAACATTCAATTAAAATAAAACTTTTAAATCATGAACTAATACGTGGATCCCACAAAAATATAAATTCATTTGTCAAACACAAGATTGGTTAGGTATATCCCTTTTTCCAAGCCAATGCAGCCGATTTCCAAGGCAATGCAGATTGTATTGGATTGGGTTGGATTGAAAAGAATAAACAACGTCATTCCTATCCACTCCCACATGACTATCCAAACACCACCAATATTACGTAGAAAACACAGGTAACAGGACAATGAGAATCCTCATTTGAGAACAAAAGAAAAACTAAACCAGAACCACCATAAAACCATGAAAAACATCCACCTCCAAGAACTCAGGTAACTGTACAAGCGACCATATTTACCAAATGCAATTTACAGCCTCACCTGTTGAACTCCACAGTGTCACAAAGGCTACGGTGATAGAACACCTAGGCTTCCAGACATACAAGCTGGCTCTGTCGATGCATGGTTTGCTGCTTGAGGATCATGGGCATTCCTGCTATTTGCCACCAGGACTTGCAAGTGGGATGGTACACTTGCTGGGGGCAAGGTCATATTTGATAATGGTCTAGCAGCTTGAACTGGCTGGGTTGGCCTGATAATGTATTGGCTTACAGCATCAGAATAAGCCCGTCCCGATAGGCTTCCACGCATCCTACCTGTGGGGCGCCAATTCTGTTCGGGTGGCGAATCCACTGGTTGCACTGCTCCTGTACTCTCTCTCTGCTCTGCAACTGACGAATGAAACCCATCAGCACTCAAAGAAAGAGATGTTCTAGATGTTTGGAATGGAGATGGCATAGATGGTGACTTTGTAGCCTGCAGGGCAGCACACAGCAATGCACATGAACCGCACCTGTTGGCCATCACCGACACCTGTTGCCTGACCAGTTCTATTTTGCGTACCTCCTTGATTAGGTTCAGGATGAGGGAAATGTGCAGATGACTGCACCAGGCTTGGGGAAGGACCCATGGCATGGGGAACCCTCATCTTCAAAGGTAGATGCTGATTTGAGTTATGGTCTGCTGCTAGTCGTGCGGGGGAAAATCTGTAAGCACCTGGGAGTAGACTTAACTCTGGACGACCCACCATCTGTTGAGCTGTTTGGCCAGGATTTAATGAGCGATTTTGATGATCCCAGTTCTACAAGTGAAAACACGGTTAAACAACCATGAAAAAGGATATGAAGTGAACCCAGGAACCCTATATTGGCAATAACATGCAAAGCCATAAAAAAACAAGCAGTAAATGAGTATCTGGAATATTATCTTACCTGTGTCCCAGAAAATTGCAGTGACGAAGATGAGGATGTGTGCGACACTTGAAGTGGATTGAAATGAGATCTAGAAAATTGGGGTTGCCTTCCCAAATTACTGGATGCTGCATTGAAACCATCTGTGAGTAATGACACAGCAGAAGAACTCTGAGAAGCAGCAGAAGGACCACAGGGGGCCAAGGTATTCAAACTATTTCTTGATCTTTGTGTGGTAACATGTATAGAATTCTGGACTGGAAGGGCCTGAACTGCAATTGGTGTTCTGCTTACATGCCTGGGTATTGATGGGAATCTCTGATTTTCATTGCTGAGACTGGAATTCCCAAATTGCGATTGTTGTACTTGCAAATTAGCAGGAACAGGAAGTTGACTATCTGGAACAGAGGATGCAAGGATAGCATTTCCATCAAAAGCCTCCACTTCTCGATTAAGAGCAGGAGAAACCGCGTCAGTTAACACGGGAGACGGCATATAATTTGAAGGAGCAGGCACAGAAACTTGACCAATACGAGAACTGTTTTCATTAACCTCATTCATATGATACGTATTAAGGCAGGTTGTCAGAATCTCAGTATTAGATTGACTTAGACAATTAGCAGGGGAAGGTTTTCTGTCTTCATTTCCCACTGCATCCATGACATCATTTCCCTCGGTGAGATCCAGAACATCTGGAGGAGCATTTGGGAAGATAGCAGATTCTTGATGCACAGACCCATCTTGCTTGCAATTGGGAGTTTTATCATGTGGCTGGTCTGTAGGATCCTCACTTTCCTTGGCGGCCTCCCATGATCCATCTGCCGAGATGATCACATCAGCAACATTCTCTCCCACCTCTTTCAAGACCTGAAGGTAAAACCAACAAATTATAACTCAAAACTAAAAAAATCAAAATCAAAAGGAAATTGAAATTACAAATACAAAAGTACTTGCCTTGACCATATTTTGATCAATACGGATGTCAGTGAAGCAGACAAACTGATTACAATGTGGGCAGCGCCAGTATGGTCTTCTTGAATTTATGTCCACATAGTTGTCAAAATCAAAACACTAAAAAAGGAAAAGGGGTCACTTTTATGGAAAGAGCAAAAAGGAAAAAAAATAAAGATGGGGCATAGCAACATTAGTTTTTCTTCTTTTTTTTTTCCTACCTTTTCTTCAGGAAGGGTTAGGGGAAGGAAGCATGGATGTTGGTTGTCTTGCAGACAATTTTTAGATGGCCCAAGTATTGTTTATGATGTTAAAGCTTGATGGCTAAATAGCATTTAAAATCACTGCTCTTTCAAAGCGATCACGATATTGGTAACATATTCCATTGTTACAACATTCCTTTGTACATTTGACAGTGCAGAACTTCAAGCCAATCAAATATACAACAGCTTGATTGCAGACTCGCCATTATCGAAGATGATCCCCACAGATTTAGCACGCCATAACCTATACTAATATGGGTGTATGACAATAAGACAAATCCAGAAAATATGAACTTTGAGGAACAAATTTTAGAGGGCCTCATTTTAGGTCAATCAATTGTACTTATCTCCCAGGCAATTTGTCACTTCACAAAGTCTTCCCAGTTATATATTCATGCAACAACTTCTAAGCGAATAACAATTGGTAGCACTTTTAAGAACTCACATACAAAAACATACCAAAGTGGGTTTTGGATAGGAAAGAAAAGATGAGCTCACTAACTACGAAGAAACAAACTCAAAAATAGGATTATTTAAACATTATCATATCACAAAAACTATTAGATTATGATTCAACATGTAAAAGTTCCCACCTCCACTTTTAAAGATAAAATATGTTTTGGTTGTGGAGTATTCACCTGAAGATGTTTACATGAATGCCCTTTGATAGGAGTTGTAATACGCCGGAAGCTGTTTAAGATTGAGAATCAAGATAAATTAACAGGAATTCATCAATTTAATTCAGCTGATATCAGAAGAAAAGGGACCATCGTCTAATTAGAATATCTGACTACTCATTAAAGGGCAAAATAATTAACAAAATACACAAAAGATGAAATCAGTATACTCCATACTCCATAGGATCTGCATAACTAGAGAACAATAGAGGTTTTGGAAAACAGTGAAAAGCAATTTTTTTTTTAAGCAACAAACAAGATAACATACCTTATGGGACAGTTTATTGATATTCGTGATGGTCCCTCAATTATCTCAGAATCTATTAAGGAAAAAAGCGTACAAAAAGAACTTAAAATATAGACAAACAGAGCAAGAATTTAATGTTTGACTGCAGAGAATTCATTGCACATCATAAAATGACCAAAAAACAGAGAATAAACAAACAACCATTCTCCCTTTTCCTTTTTCTTGCTTGGACATACCTGAATCCAATGCAGCAATAGCAGGATGCGAATAATCCTCTAGGGCAGGACAGTCAGGGGTAGAGACCACACTCATATAAGCAACAA